TTTTAACATTTGAATTTGAGGTGATATCTTCTGCACATCGTTGTAAGTCATGTTTCGTCAATTTAGAACGTGTTTTCAATCCTAGTTGAAGTAGGATACTTCGATATTTAATACCAAATGGTGAGGTAGGAAAGACATCCAAGCATTCGCTAAATAACTGTGCCAGAAGTTCATCTGACGGATCAAAACATTCTGATGGTCTTCTATGGCTCCCGTCAGGTAAAGGAACAAATGGTTCTTTTTTAATTGTATCTATGATAATTTTCCTCTTCGATGGCTGAAATTCATCCCACCTATCCATTATCCACATAATTAATGAAGTTACATCTCCATCTTCATTCGATGAACATCGAACCATTTGGCACAGAACCTCTTCTCGCAGGCACATTTTAAGGCCCAATGTAGAAGCTAAAATATTGGAATCTGCATCTGATATGTCAAGAAATATCTCTTCTGTTGGAAAGTCTGGAAGTTCTTCTTTATTCACTATTCTTAGCTCTTTATCGTTGACGACTGCAGACTGAAAGACGCTGCAGTTAATGTAACCCTGGACATGAGTTGCTTCTTCAAAAACAGGAATTCTAAGTAACACATTTCGTTGACTATCGTCTTTAAGGCTTCTAATATTTCCCAAGAATCTTCGAAATACTTGTACATCTTCTGCAAGAAGGTTCTTCACATCATTCTGAAGACTTTTGCCAGTACCAGCATCGGCAAAAACCCGCAAGATATCATTAGGTTCTAAACTGTGTAAGTAGGTCTTCCAAACGCTTTTTCGAAAAAATTTCACAAATCCTGCATTTTCAAGATTCACTGGAATCAAATGTAGAGAAGGCAGTATGCCCTCAACCAGCCTAGCCTCAACATTTGAATCTCGATGGCCATCGATAACTACAATATTAGAATTTCGGACAAGTTGAATTAATTTGACCTCAGTTTGGTCTTCACTAAATCTTGTCGGGATCAGGGTAATCCCCTCATATTTACTAATATCATTTTTGGAAACTTCTTGTAAGAAGCTCCAGAATTTCTTGAGCCAGCATCGTGGAGGGTGATCAGGTTGGCCTGGATACCACATAACCTCGGCTGATTTCGACCAATCGGATGGTAATGCATCTCTGATTAAAGTTGCAATCATGTTTGGTTTCAATTGTTGAACTTGATTAATTCCTGTTAAAATAAAATCATCAAATCATTATCATATCAATATAAAACAATATATTGGGTTTATAAAAATATGTTTACATCGAATTGCAATGTAAGAAAAAATATGGAATGTGTGTATGTACCTATTAGGTCTATAATAATGCAAGTTCAAAGGGCACAGGCCAATTGAGCCATTATTTCAAGATGTAAACAGGTTCTTTTGAGCATTTGGCATACAAGCCGCTAACAAAAGACGTGTTCGATTGCAGATAAGAAAACTTATAATATTGTATTAATGGCTATATTTGGTTGCATTATACTTATTTCTTTGAAAATGTATAGAGATTTCTGAAAACAATGATTGCTGATATATAATGAGGTTTTGCCTGGTAAAAACTGTATGTTCACACAAATATCTGTTAAACATCACTATTTTTTTCTACAGTTTTTTTTCTTCAAGAGGCATGATTAATTATGTAAGATTGATTGATGTAGGAATAAACTAAATTGTAAAAATCACCTGTCATTTGGCTTCCACGAATAATCTTATCCTTTAGTGATTTCTCAATATTTTCATCAAGGAATCTGCTGCGAAGGCCTGGTAATAAGTCCATTGAGCACTCATGTAGTACAGAGAAATAAACCACTTCGTCGTCTGTGAGAGTTTTAGACGCAAATCTACAAAACGAACTATCTGCAAGTGGAAGCAGTTCAAAACCATGAAGGTCATCATAATCATCGTCAGCTAGTAAATATGTCAGTAAACAGATCTTCTCTCTTCGTGCTAGGCTGCATAACGAAACATTCCGTAGGGTATCCCGAACACGACTAGGTGTGATACTGTTAATTTTGTGCTTACTGTGCAACAAAACAGCATTCATGACGTGTGGATAGTCTCTTGTGGACACAATTGGTACATTGTTTTCTAGAAGAAGTCTCACAATAAGCTGTTGAGTTCCCATTGGAATGTCCTCAAAATGGTCAAATATTGCCTCATCTATATTTATCCACTGACCACCTCCAATTACACTAAAGAACACATCTTTTTCAAGTAGTATATTGAAAAAATTAGGACACATTAACTCCTTCCAGGGGAATCCCACTTTGTTCACATCAGGCCATGTCTTGTAGATGCAATCGACAGAAACCTCTCCTGTACTGTAC